GATAGTCCCACATATTATATGATATTCATGTTTGATATATTATAATATACTTATAGACCTACTACCTATAGTTGTATTGTATTTTTTTTTTCAAAATTTGACGTTCATGTTTATAATTTTATAACTTAACAAGTTTTGATAATAAATAAAAATAACAACTAACTCAAAATTCAAAATTCTCGTGCAACATAATTTTTAACATTAAATCTTAAAAAGCAAAAATACCCAAATACCCTAAAATACATCAAATTACTCCAAATAATAATAATTGACTTCGAAAAATAAAATTAAAATGTTCGTTTCAAAAAAAAAAAAAAAAACCTTAAAAGATTATGAAGATATAAAGTAATGAAAATAATTTTGTTTTCAAAAATATTGTTTTACAAATTTACAATGACCTGAAAATTATGAAAAAAAATAATATTTTCAAAAATGTTAATAGTTTACTTTACCGATTTGACATTGGTCTATACATCCGTCCACTGTACATTTTACAAAAAAATTGATTTCCTCTTCGGTCAATTCATTTTTTTGGCATTTTTTTTTTATTATCGATATGATATTCATCGCGTAATTTTATAATATATGCATCAATCGATCAAATAACGTTAGTTTGCAGTAGCTCGCGCAATGTAAACTGCTATTAAAATAATATTATACAGTATTAGGTAAGTGGGTACACGTTTGTATGGAACTCCGTTGCTATTGGTCCGCATGGTTAATCTTTTATTCGATTTAATGATTATATTGTATGCAGTTGTGGAAATGAAGATGTTTTGTAGAAAACTATCACGGTCATAAATTATTTCAACGATGTTATACCTATATCGATGCATACCTATAACCTGTTCTTTTATTATAATATAAGAGATAATTAATATTAATAAATATTAATAAGCTACGCGTTTGTTGTAAGTTTTATAATATAAAATGTTATCTACATAAATAATAGATAGATGCATTTTATTCTTTTCTATATAAAATAATAAAAATTTACTGGGATTTATTATTTTTTTATTCTATTTTAATTAAAAGAGCAAAGTTTAAATTAAATTATTTTTTTAAATATACTCGTACTATTATTTTAAATACCAAACACTGCCCGGGAGTGCACACATGTCTAATACAAATATGTATACGTTTGTTATACATAGCTTGGTAAAATTATATACTAATTTTATAAATTGAATACTAACATAATATACCGACTACAGATATATGTTATGGCCTATGATATGGTATAGTACGTGAAGTGAATAAAAAAAAAAAAAAAAAATGATTGATAAAATTTATAAAATTATGAGTATTGCAAATAATTTGGTTTTCGAAAACAGGGGAATGTATGGTCAATCAACCATGTTATTATGATTAACAAGCTGCACTGCTACCCAGTACCCGTACTTACCCGCCTACATATGTGATATATGAGTGAACTTATTTTTCGGTCTTCTTTATAGTAATATGCAATTATTTATTTATTTATTTATTTATTTATTAGTTCACAATGAAAGATATCGTATACTTCGGCACGTATCAATTATAAGAAAAATCTACTTTTTTAATTTAAAAAAAATATAAATATAGGTACCTACTCAAAAATTACATATTCTGTAGTTGCTTAATATTTAATAGGCTAACTATGCCGTTTAATAATTTTATTCTATTCATTGTATAGGTACATGAATACAAATACAATGTCTAAATCAGTAATCCAAATATTTGTTTTGGAAGATATCACTAATTTTAACATTATTCATTAGATATACTTAGTAATTTTTAGAACAAAAAAAACACGCGTTTAAGACAAATAATAAGAGTAGTAAAAATGTATTTTTAATATAAAATGATAATCAACATTTTTTTTTATTTGTGTGGTGAAAATCTAATATATAATATACCTAAATATCTTAACAGTTAATACCATAAATCAGAATTAAATAGAATACTCATTCATGATAAGAATGTAACTTTATTATTCAAGTTAAATTTAAAAATCTAAAAGCTTTTGCTTTTTAGAAGCAAATAATCAATCATATTTCTAATGTTTAGTTTAATGTCTTTTTTGAGTATTGAATAGTTCAACTATATGCCAATCTAAATAACTGGTAAAATTTTCAAGTATCTACGACTTATACTTTTTTGAATATTAACAAATATTTAAAATCGTTTAAGGATAAATCGTTATCGTTACGCTATTTCGTAAAAATTTTAAATTCAAACGCACTTAAAATTTTTCCAATAATGATGCTTTGAGTTTTTACACTATAGCTACTTGAAGGAAAACTTAGGGAAAACATAGTGTAGTATTTTTAATCCTTAGTTATAAACACAAACAATTTTATGATTTTTCAACTTCAACATTACTTACAAATTTTCGCGTTTTTGATAGATTTCGTAAATACATTAAATAAATTCTAGATTTAATTGCAGTATCTATACGTACCTACACAATACACGTTTATGTATAGGTTACTTTGTTAAACTTATACAGAAAATGCCGGTTATCAAGCAAATTAATGTTGAGGGTTGGTCCACAAATATTCCAATAATTGAAGTGTAAAACATTAAATTGTTATTTTTAAAAGGTCTTTTAATAATGACTTTTATCGTAGATATTGAACAACTATGAATCTGACTAAAATCCATCATTTTTCAAATCTTTGTACGTTTAAAACTTTTTTACATATTATGCACGTAATAATTACCTACCTAATAAATATCAATGTAAAATAAAAAATAATAATAATAATTTAATGTTTTTTATTTCAATTATTTAGATATTTGCGGACCATATTTATCATTAATTAACTTGATAATCGGCGTTTTACTGTATAGCAAAGTAGCCTATATACATCTGTTGCGAACCTGGTGTTATCTTTGACAGGAAGGAGAACAGCGACGAGAAGGTTTTAAATGCAATAAAAAAAAAACAGGTTCGGTTACTTTAAATGTGTTTTTCTGTTTATTAAAATAAAAAAACCGCATAAGACTCGAAGTGACAAATTAAGCGATGGTAACTAAAGTTGACAATTTGAGAAAACGAGAAATATATTTGAAAAATGTTCACTGTATGGAATTGGTCAAAAGCACGATCGTGTACGGTGTGGTGGGTTTAACTAATTCCAGTCCTAGGACCAGTTCGCGGTGTCGGCGATCAAGACGTTTCGACGCCGTTATCGTGCGTCGACGTCGTCCGTCGTCGACTGGCGGTTGGATAGAGAAGCGATTCCGCGGTTTTCCGCGTAAAGGCCGTTTGAATTCAAACGGATATTACGCGGAACCGCGTTACATCAACGTCTATTGTAGTCGCTAATCGCTAAGTCTAATAAACTATAAAGTATGAACAATATATCTAAGCCTTTGCATTAAGTTTTAATCAAAAAATATGACTAGATAAATAAAATATAGGTAACTGTTTAAAGTCATCTAAATTTTTTAATAACTTAAAACAACTATGAAAATTAAAAACAAAATTCAATTAAAGCACATTACAACTGATTTGTAAGAAAGTGTAGTTTTATAATTACAGGAAAATATCAAAAATTATTTTAAGAGAAATAGTATGATACAAGTGAATATTTACCGTCATTAAAATATGAACTTCAAATGCTCATCAAAAATTAATTTGATTTTCCGGCAAAAATTTTTATTTTTAAAATATGAGAAACCTTGTATTAAATTTTCAATTTTTAACCACGTAAAACTTATTTTATTAAAAAAAAAAAAAATTATTTAAATTATCCATACTAAATAAATTCATTCCTCTGCTCAGAATATAAAATATAACCTTAAAGGTCTCAAATTTCAATATATTGAAAGGTTAGGGTTTAAAATCAAGTACACATGCTTCTGGTGTTTGATATTTAATATATATTTGCTATTTTTTTTATTTTTGTGCCACTGCCACAACAAACCCCTATGAATAACAATATGAAATTTTGTGATTAAAATCTGAAGCACTGATCAAAAATCGATTGTGAATAAAATATTAAAATACTAATGCAAAATAATGGAACCATAAATACTACATATGTAAGTAATATAATATAATAACTAATAAAACACAAAACCTTGTATGCTGCAACGTGATTATATTTATTAAGTACGTCTTGAGAATCAAGTAGTTGAATCAATACAAATAGTTTTATTTTACAGACCCTATAAACTTAAACCTGCATTCATAAACTAACACAATCGAACACGATATAACAACGTAAATATCGCGATTTAAAATTTGACTGCCGACTATACCATTAATGTATAGCTTAATGAGATTCTCAACATTCTTGCATTTAGTTAAACTACTTTTATTAGATCAATGGTTACATACAGTGAAATCTGAGCATAAAAACCGGCGAGAGCAAACTCTTCATTTTTGAAAAGATCATGAGAAGAATTTTCAAACCTGTGAAAGACAGCATAACTAATGATTAGAGAATTAAGGTAAAACGAGGAGTTAAAATCACTTTGTCAAACACTGAATATTGGTGAAGCAATCAAAAATAAGAGACTTCAATAGGCAGGGCACACGCTTGGAGAAGCCAAAATCTATTACCCATACAGTACTAGAGAAGAATCCAATAGGTAAAAGATTCATTGAAAGACAGAGGATGAGGTGAGAAAATGTAGTAAAGAATGATGTAGAAGAACTAGGAGAAAGAGAGAAACAGATTGAAAAGCACAAATAACTGGGATGGATGGAAACTAGATGTATAATGAGACGGTCCTAGAGAGGTGGCTAACATCTCCTCCAAAATAAAAAATAATTAAATAAATTTACTGAGTGAGAAATAAATAATGAGTAAATAATCTGTAAATCATTAAACTTATTAATATTTACTATCTAGTTTTTAATAAATAAATTATACTTAATATACTTTTACTTTTACTAGTCTGAAAATATAAAATGTTACACATTATGTGTACAACTTATAAATTAAATAAATAAAAACAATTTAAGTTTTAAAATTAAAACTACTAATATTTACAATAAAAAAAATAAAAAAAAAATTGAACTTTTAAACATTTTAAATAGCAGATTTTTTCATTTTCATTTCTACATATCCAATTCATGTATAGACAAATAGTTATTCCACATACTTTTTAAAATTAAAATAATTTCTTTTGCATAGGTATTTATATCAAACACATCACTTTGCATTTTAAGTTCCCAAATATTTCTTTTAATATTTTCCAAGACTTGTTTGTTTAACCCCAATTGTATTGCAATTTCAATATAATTTCCTTCATTTTGAGCAATAGTATTTGTAATCCCTAAAGAAGTCAATTGTGAAGCTGTTACACGAGATGCATATGTTTCTCCAGGTAATGTTACTACTGGAACTCCTGCCCATAATGCATCCAAACAAGCCATGTGTCCATTATATAAACGTGTATCCAAATAAATATCGGCCAACTGGATTCGATTCAAATGTTGATATTTAGGAATAAAGTCAGCAAAAATTATACGTGATGAATCAAAATTTAAGTCATCAGCAAATTTCTTTAAGTTATTTTCAGCAGCATCATTCAAATGTAGAAGCCATAGTACAGAATTAGGAACATTATTTAAAATAGTGAGCCATGTACGAAAAGTAAATGGGTCTATTTTATATAGCTTACTGAAATTACAAAATACAACAACATTTTCTGGTAAGTTGAACCGTGATTTAGAGTAAGATATTACAGATGTTGAGGGTTCTTCATCAATACAAATGGTTTCAGCTGATTCCATTTCATTAAAACTGTTTCCATTAAGATAAATGTTTTTATGTGAAATATCATTTGTAGTATCTACGACTTTGAGTTGACGTAAATTAGAAAACTTCTGTTTATGATCGCCAATAAAAATAGTTTGATTGATATAAGCCAATTTTTCAGTATATAAATTTTGAAGTTCAGAAGGAGAACATACTCTATCTGTAATTAAGTAATCCATAAATGATGCACCACTAGTATTAGGATAACCAAACCATGAAACTTGAACTGGAGCCGGTCTTAAAGCAAATATTTCAGGTTTAGAACCTTTTGAATAACCACACATGTCAACCAATACATGGATTGCATCATTATTTATAATTTTAGCAGCATCATTTACTTTAAGGTGTGACAAATCTTTATACTTAAAGTTACTTAAGAGATTCAACCTGAAATTTAAAAAAAATATTTTAAACAGTAATAATGAATGACTGATTAAATGTTATTAAATAGTTTAATGGCAAAGTAATATACATAATTTATTATTACACAATAAATGTTTTGAATAAATTAGTTTATTTTTAATTATAAAGTAAAGGTTACCGATTTTAAGAGATCTGAACTACATGATAATAAAATTCTTTAGTTATTATAATTTTAAAATCATTTTAGTAATATAATTTAAATCAAATATTTACCAGGATGGAATATTATCATTTGCAGATATAGAATAACAAATGACAAATATTTGGTCGTCATTTAACCGGGATAAGAATTCCATAATCGTTGTTATTGGGTATTTATTAAAGTTGGTTGATACAAAACCAATCCTTAGATTTCCAGCTGTAAATTTTATAGATGTAGGATAAATAAACTGTTGAGGTTCTTCAATTGATTTTTTCAATTTCTCAACACAATGTTGAGCATACTTAGTAGCAATTTTTTTTTGTACTTCAAACGATAGCGGTAACAACAATGAATCATGAGGTAATAAGGACAAAACTTGATCATCTTCAAGTTCCTGGTTAACTATTTCTTTTAACTTAGCCATATGTGAATCATAATCTGACCAATCACAAACTTTTTGTAAACATTGTACTAAATTACAATATACTTCTGGAAAATCTGGTTTTAGTTTTAACACAGTTTCATAAGCCCGAATCGCATCGATGAAATTATCACTATCTTTATGTATAGAACCCACCTTAATAAAAGCTTCTAAACACTGCGAATCAAGTTGGATTGCTGTATAAAGATAACTTAATGCTTTTTTACTCATGTTTAACTCAGTACATATAATACCCATACGTACATAAATTTCAACAAATGTATTGTCATATGCCAAAGCTTTCTCATAATGAAAAAGAGCATCATTAAGATTTCCAATTTCTTTGTGCAAAATATTTGCTAAATTCATATGTACATCAAAAGCATCAGATTCATCAATTTGAAGAATTCTTTTATAAATATCAACAATATCATCAAACTGGCCTAATTTTTGTTTTAGAAGTGACATATTAATCAAAGCATTTAAATGGTCTGGTTGAAGTTGAAGGGCCATTTTATAATATTTTAAAGCCTTTTCGTAAAGATCATATTTTTCATAAATTATTGCGCTATCACAGTAAGCATGGGCAAAGTTTGGTTTCAATTCAATAGCTTTCCTATACCTGTTAAAAATAAAAATTATGATAAAATTAATAATTATGCTTAATTATGTTAAATAAATGCATTTTAAAAGGATAATAAATAATAATAATATAGGATGTTTTAAAAATAACGCTGGATTTAAAACTGCTATAGATCAAATTTATTTATGTAAAACTAACAGAAAAACATCATTCTCTTTAGAAGAGATTGAGGTTTAAACATGGAAAAAATATCGGGTATATGTCATCAAATTTGTAGAGAGCAATTTCTTCTTTAAAATCCAGCAAATTGTGTGGTTCAAGTAAACTTGTAACTTAGTGAATCCCCAAAGGAAAAAATCACACAGTTTCAAAACACAAGATCGAAGTGAGTAGGTTTGGTCGCCATGCACTTACTTGATAGGGCAATACGTGATCAGACGATGAAGAATTTCATGGACTGAGTGATCACATATAAGGCAAGATAGGAGAGGGTATATGCCTGATATTTTTCATGTTAAAACCTCAATCTCATCTGAATAGAATGATATGTTTTTTGTTGTTATTTTTATATAAATAAATTTGAATAATAGTTGTTGTAAGTCAGGCATTCTTTTAGAGACATCCTATAAAAGTTAATTAAACCAAGTAATATGTTAAAGAAATTAATAACAAAGAAGATAATACTAATTGACATATTTCAAATACAATATCTTATACTGAATTATAAAATTAAATAAAACAGTAATACTCAATTAATAATCAACAATCAAAGCAAAGCACTAGCCACTAATTATATGTATACATGCAAATATAAACACTTGACACATCAAATATTGTAAAATATGTAAAATAAAATCAATTTATAATTATTTGCATACACAAATGTATCACCTGATAATTATTTATTTAAATAATAAATATAAGTAAAACAATAAAAATTATTTTTATTTAATTACTTCTAAATTGTAAATAAACATGAAAAATATTTGATTGTGTTAATTTCATAACTGAGGGGGCTCTTTCAAATTTTAAATATGCTTAAAACATTAAATCATGTAAAAAAATAAAAATAAAAAATGAGGAGGGTGAATACTTACTGATAATAAGCAAATAAATATGAAGATAAGAAAGGCAAAATTTTATACTAAATAAATATGAAGTTTTTAACAAGTTGAGAATAAAAACCAACAGAAGGGATAAGATATATTTATAAGCTAATAACTAAAATAAATAAAAATTATTTTTATGTAAAATTTATAGTAGAACTCATCTATAAATTAAATTGTTTAAACTTAAGTTTACCAAGATATCATAGATGATCAGTATATTACTAGATAAAAATTTATTTATTGACTATTATGTTGATTAATAATTACCTCATTAAAGCCAAATCAAATTGACCCAGATTATGCATAGTAAGTCCAACTTTCCAATGACCATGCGCATTCTCAGGATTAAAATACACAGCAGTAGTAAATGCATTTCTTGCATTTTCTAGATCAAATCTATCCAAATATAAATCGCCCAATGAAATGCAAATATCTGATGCATTTTTATATTTATTTAACTTTTGGTTTACTGCAAAAAGATATTTATACAGATCTTCTCTTTGTGAATTCAATTCAATACATTTTTCAAAATACTTTTCAGCTTCTTGAAAATTTTCTAGATTATGAAAGTAAACCAAAGCCAATTCTAAATTAATATCTAAATTATCAGGTTGAAGTTTTAAACATTTTTTGTAGGTTTCAACAGATAATAACATGTTATCTTGATAACAATATGTAACTGCTAAGTATCTTAAAGCAGAGATATTATCTGGATCCAATTCAATAGCTTTTTCAAATGACGTAATTGCTTTCGAGTACTCTGTTACTTTGAGATACGCTAATCCTAAATTAACTAAAGTATTTTTTAAATTAGAATTTACTTCTAAAGCTTTATGATAATTTAAAATAGCTTTGTCAAATTTATCAGTCTTAAAATATACGTCTCCTAAATTACATAAAGTTTCTTGAAATTCTGGCGCACTTTTCTGGGCAATTTTAAATTGCTGTTTAGCATTTTTGTTTTTATTTATGGATAGCAGAAATTTTCCATACTTGTTTCTTACAGTATATGAATCTGGTTTTAAATTTAAAATTTGGATATAAACATATTCAGCAGATTTTATATCATTTGTTTTAAATAATGCTTCAGCATAATTAATCCAACCATTATTATAAAAAGGTTTCTTAAAAATAGCTTCAGATAAGTAATATTTTGCTAAATCATATTGAGATTGTTTCCAATAATTAGATGCAATGTTATTCAACACTTCAAAAGAATTTGGATTCAAAGTTTTAGCTAATTTCAAGAAACTAATAGACTTTTCATAGTTTCTACTTTTAAAAAATGATTCAGCCATTAGAATTATAACATTTAAATCATCAGGTTTATGCTGAAGTATTTCTTCACATATTTGTTGAGTTTTGTTAAAATTTCCATTTTTATTTTCTAATTTTGCTGATTTTAGAAGATTATCTAAATAAATAAATAAATAAATAAAGTAAATATATATACATATATAAGTGTATTTAAAAACATTTAACTATTTAATATTAGGTTATTTCTGTAATAAATATATTAATATAATAGCAGTTAAATTTAAATAGTTTCATTCTATGACAAAATGTGACAGAACCAAAGCTAAAATAGATTACCCTAATCCATAGATTTGTGGAAAGATTAAAACTATACTTTGTCCATCAAGACAACACACTGATTTTGTGCATAATAACTAAGCACTTGTTGAGGTCTCATTTTCATTTTCAAGTTACCTAACCAGTCAAAATTCTTTTGTTCAGACAGAGGACATTGTCATTCTTCTAATATTCTAAAATTGTGTAGCTCTTTTAATTTTAATTCCAGAAATCTAATAGATAGTTAAAATATTAACTGTAATCAAAAATAATATAAAAAAAGTAAAAAAAAGATGAGAATAATGAATACATTATACTTTTTATAAATGATGAATTTAAATTACATAATAATATTATATGAAATTCTTTTAAATCTTTATAAATTGTGTTATTAGCTTAATCAGTATGTTTAATAAAATCCAATCAAGGTCATGCTAAGAGAAGGGGGCAAGTGTACTAAAATGGATGCCAAATTAAGAGAACAGTACACTCGCATACATTATCTTCATATTACAAACGTTCAACATAATAAATCTATGTTTAGTAGAACCAATTTTTTGGGTATTACTTTTATATTATTATATAAATATATCAAAAGTAATATTTTAATTATTAAGCATAATATGAGTATAGTAAAATATTACAAATTAGAAATGCTCATAGTATCTAACTTAATAAATATAATTTGAAAAAAGACAATTGCTTTTAAATAGATAATGTTCTAACCTTTTGCTTTTATAATAAATAAATTCACTCTATTATAAAATCAAACAACACAAAATAGGTTCTACTAAACAATAATTTGTTAGACCAATGCAGGTTTTCTTGATGGACAGAGTATAGCATAGAAATTTATAATATTGATAATTATTTTTGCGAAAAACTTACCAAGGTGTTCATCATACATCTAAAAAAAAAAAACAATAAATTATTAAAATATAATCTTAAAAATGTTGAATTTTATTGCTATTAATTCTTACCTCTAAAGCTTTATAAAGCAGTGTTAATGAATCTCCACACAACTTTATCGAACTGGCTTTTCCAAAGGTGGTTTGTGCCAAATCTTTAACTTTTTTAAATCCTAATACTTCAAATTCCTCGGAGATTTTTTTGAATCTTAAAAAAACAAAAACATTTTATTATAAAATAAATTGGTAATAATTGAATGAGGAAACATGTAATATTAGTGTTACAATACTAAATTTGGAAGTAATAATAAATCATTATATTCCAAAATGATTATGACTACATTAAACTTTTGAAGCACATTTTTTATGCACTCAATAAGTTAAAACATGTTTCTTATGACCCTAACAACATTTTAGCAAACCTTCTCTTCACTGTCGTCTTTTAGAGTTCTTCCCTTTAAGCATTTTATTTAGAATGTTTAAAACAAAGATATTTTTCCATCAGTTAGAAAAATCTTCTCTATCATTCTTATTTTCATGTCATCTCATAAATAATCATCAGCCAATATCCATTTTACATCACATTATTAAATAATTTTAACGTATTGTCTACAATACAATTGAGCTCTTAAGCTTCATCATTTTCTTATCCCACAACAGCATGAATTCTATTCTGGAAAAATAACCATTACCTATAATGTGTCTCTTTTTCTTTTATCTTTGATTGCTTTAGCTAAGATTCACAAGATGCTGTAATTTTCACTAATTTTTTTAAGTTTTTGACTTTATTCATCAAAATCTAATCAATAAATTTAACCGTTTTAGAATTAGTGATCTTCTACTATCTTGGTTCTGCTTATACCTTTTGAACTAGAGGCAATTTGTCAAATTAAGTTGGTGCCTTATCAAGCCTAGTTGATTTCACTTCTGGGGTCTCACAAAGTATACTTGAATGCGCTCTTCTTTTTACTATGTGTCAATTCTATTTCAAGTTACCTTAAGAAAACTCAATTCTTTCTATATACTGATGATTTAAAAATTTAGCATAAATTTCTCTTATGTTGCTTTTAGAATTGTTTTAAACTTAACATACAACTCAGATATTAGCCTTTACCTACATATTCTTTCGCTGTCCTCTCATTGGGAAATATTGAATATCAGATTATTTTATGCTCTTCTCAATAATTTAATTAATACATCTAACCTCTACCATATTACATTTTAAGTTTTTTTCACATAGAAATGAAACTCCATTTTACATTCTTACGGTAAAAATCATCCAATGAATAGAATATTTAGGAAGGCCAATTAAGTATGACCTTTGCTTTCCCCTTTTTGTTGTAATACTTTATTCATCTATATATTATTGATTTTATATTGTATCTACTCTATCATCTCATCATTTTATTCTTTCAACTTGTACTATACTTTAGTTATATTTTATTCAAATTGTTTATGCTGATTGGCATTTATTCCAATAATAAAAAAAAAAAAAAGAAAAATTTAATTCCAATTCAAAAATATGTAAAATATACACCAACACATTTGAACAAGAGTTAAAATATGTTAATTATGAAAAAAAAAAAATTACCATAAATTCATAATACTACAAACAAATGTTTATATTATCTAGCTTTATTTTGAATGATAACTGGAAATTATGCTAACTTGTATAAGTCCATAGCCCTAGCGATTACACACAAGTTTACTAATAGGTACCAAATTTAATATGGTTTTAAATGTGTACTGTTATATTATAATATAAAATATAGTAGGTAAGTACTAGATAATAATTAATGAGTAATAACAGCTCTTATAGGATAGCTAAAAAATATAACAATGAAAAGAGAGAGATAATTCCTAACTTCTTTTCCTCTGGCAGTAGTATAGTATGAAAGTAAAACATTTGAACATTATTTAACTAATAAAATACATTTTAAATTTTCATTTCATTAAAAAGTAAATTATAGTAAATGATTAAAATCTAGTATATTTAATAGTATATGGTATTATATCCAAATCATATAAATATAAATCGAGAATTCATAATTTGTATAAGACTTAAATAAATACTTGTGAATCATATTTTTAACAGATAAAAGTATTTAGATTTAAAAAAAGGAAATCTAGAACCTAATACACAATAATATTGGTAATTATTTACTTTATAGGATCATTTTCTGACAAGATATCTGTTAAAACAGATATTGGTGCTTCACAGTCTGAATGTTTTGAACAAAACATATGCTGTAAATAATATAAACATTATAATTAACATAATTAGTTTTACTAGCTTATCAAAAATTATAAAATAAAATTAACTTTGTCTTTATCAAAACCTTACAGTAATTTATTTCAAAAGTGAAATTTTTAGACAACTACCTTATTTAATATTTAAAAAAACTCCTATGTATGCTAATATAAAATAGCAAATGTATGTACAACAGCTCACATTTATCCTTATTAATTTACTGTTACTCACTTGTAATATTAAGACAACAAATGTGGATGTGGTATTCTCTTAATTATAAACATATAAACAAAATTTGTAATTTATGATATTTCATATTTCATAATAAAGAATGTCATGCCAGCATCTGAAAACCTCAATATTGTTACACATCACAATGGGAATTTTGAAGAACACATAATCTGTAAGGGAATCTACTTTTCATTACAATATCTAACAATAAAAGCTTATCAATTCAGTAATTAAAGACTTCAAAAATCCCAAATCTCAAAATAGGATTTTATTCATTAACATAATATCATTATCGTATGTTAGTACAAAAATCCCAGAAATATACCCATGTAATTAATTTATTAATACATTACTTACAGATGGTAATGTATTCATAGTTCAAACACGAGTGAATTTTTAAATAAAAATAGTTTTTAATGATCCACATAAACTTATGATTAGGCTTTTGACAATAAACTGCAAATAAATAAAATACTTGTTTTAATAATTGTATTACAGTAAATACAATTAATACATAATATCTTTATATTATGATTTACACTAATAAACAACAAATAATTTTAATAAGATATGTACATAACTATTTAATAGTGATCATTAAGGACAATCTAAAAATATTGTCTGTCCAGACTACATTCTTTGACAATACTTTCATGTTATCATTTGTAAAAATAAAAGATGTAGCAGAGCTTTAGAAACTAAAATTTCCAAACATTTTTTAATAGATAGGTAATAAAAATTGCACTAAAATTTAAAATGACTGATATATTTTAAAACTTAACATTTAAATAACTAATACAATTTACTTTTTGAACAATAATAAAAAAAGTTAACATTAAATTTACTGTTTTAAATGATTTATTCTATACTAGAAAATCTTAAAATATAAAAATAATCAAAGCAGTCTTTTAAATAAATTTCAATGTGTTCTATAATTTAAAATTACTTTTTTTAAATGAATACTTGAATTTTACTTTTAATATTGGTATTATTTTTCATTCATATTTTCTTTTTTTTTTATTTATATATTTAAGTAATTTACAATCTATACAACATTATGTACAATGAGCAAATTTGATAGTTAATGTAATATAAAGTAACAGAATTTAACATTTGTGGGTAGGCACTCAGCAGCACCACCCGTGAACATTTTAAATGTCGTTTTTTTTTTATTATATTAGTAGGTCTTTAGGCTACTGTCTTTTGAGTCTTCTGTGTACATTGCCAGGAAATGAGGTGGAAGAAAGTTGCTTTATTAATGGATTACTGTGAAAGTATAAGTTGGAGTGAAATTTAAAGTAATGTACTTTTGCTAATTGATTAAGTGTAGGAATTTTTAGGTCTTTATGAAGATTATTGTTTGTGAAATACTAAGGAAATATTATTAATCGTAGGCAGATAGATTGAAAAGCTTGAAGCTTGTTAGTGTTAGAGGGCTTTGCGGAGCTCCATAACTGGATACCATATGTCCAAGCAAGTCAAATTATTAATTTGTATATAGTAAGTTTATTGGAAAGGGAAAGTTTGGATTCTAAGAGTGGTCTAAGGATATGAAGTCTAGAGTTAACAGTTTTAAGTTTAAGTTTAATGTGTGGGCTCCAGGTTAAGCAATTGTCCAGAGTTAGCCCAAGGTATTTAACTTTATTTACCTTAGGAATTGTTATATTGTTTAATGTAACAGGTGGAGAATCGAGATTACGTAATAAAAAAGTTACTTGAACAGATTTAGCTTCGTTTATTTTGATTTTCCATCTGTTTGCCCACAAGCAAACATTTAAATGGTTTTGGATCATTTCACTGGGTGTGACATAGCTTTCGTAGGGGGGCAGTTATTAGCGTGTGATCAGCGTATATACCTAAAGATGTATAAAATGTCTTGGGTATGTCATGAGTGAAAATCGAGTAAAGGAATGAGACGATGTCGCTTCCTTATGGGACTCCAGCTCTAATAATGTAACGGGTTGAGTAGGTATTGTTTAGGCGAACAGTAAAAAAACGATTTCACAGATATGATTTTATCAAGAGGAAAAGAGGGGTGAGTAAGAACTTTTTAAGTTTGTACATTAGTCCGTCGTGCCAAACCCAATCAAAGGCTTGGGAACTGTTTTTTTCCAGGGAGCTGGATATGATATCGACTGTTCTGTGTAATTGGTGCAATCTAGAATGTTTTGATCTGAATCTGAATTCAGTGTGTGGAATTATGTTTTTTGAAGAAGCAAAATGAATGAGTCTTTTTAAAAGAATTTTCTCAAAAATTTTAGAAAAGGTTGGGAGAAGACTTTTGGGTCTGTAAGAGGCAGGATCTTGTGGTGGTTTATTGGGCTTAGGTATTAGAATAACGACCGAGTATTTCCAAGTGTTAGGAATGTATGATAGTCTGAAAATGGCGTTGAATATTTGTGATAAAAAAATATAATTTTTTTGAGAAGGTTCTTTGTAATAACATTATTACATTACTAAGATTACTACAAGATATCAAACAAGAAAGTTAACTTTCTATTAAGTAGATAAAATTAATATTGACTTACCAAAAAACAAAAGGCTCTTAATCAATAATATTAATTAGATACATACTAGAATTTTCTACTTGACAAAGTATTATTTTACACCTTTATAGAACTTAAAAACAGTATACAATTTATATTTACTTCAACAAATAATAAATATTAAATTTTGATAAAATATATGATAAAAATGTTTGAAATAAAATTAGCTTAAACCAAGACATTCTAGTTTTTAAATCTTAGGAATAAACAAATTACATAACAGTCAATCAGTAGACAGCAGAATACTATGATATGATAGAGCAATATGATGCAGATATCGGCATTTTCTGTCTTTGTCAATGCACGTTTTTATATAGTATAAAGACACGTATTGACGTATAAAACTATTTGGCATTAAAAACATGACGAAGTTAAGCACCTATCAATGTTTAAAAGTGATTCAATATACAAATCACATCTTATAAAATTTTAAGATAGTTAAATTACCAATAGCCCCGTGAATCATCATTTGAAAATAATATATGTGCAATGATAATTATTTCTGTCTTAATTATTTGTTAGTTATTTTATACACTACTATTAACAAGTTATATTTCTGAATACTCTGAACTTTAAATGTTATACACTTATCGAAAAAAATATAGAAAATATTTAAAAAAAATACTAAAAATGTAGGTTTAACAATAATACTTTTAGGCTATAGTCTGTAACATTGATGTTTTATATATATCAATATTAAAGGTTGAGGTATGAATGTATGATAAAGGTATAATCATAAGATAGTAACGTTTTTGTGGTGGTAGTATTTACAATTTAATTATGTAGCCAGTCATTATTTTACTCTAAGTTAGTGGGTGGTGGTGAACGGTGGTAACTAATTTTTATACTTTGCACCACTAAATTAAATACAAGTCAGCACCAGTAGATCACATAGGCAATTATTAATATTTACATTTTAAAGAGTAATGAACATTTTAAATTTTTAGTATTTTACATGTTCTATTACCCTGTTATTTCGTCTTTTCTATATTATTCTATTATCACTTGTGCTTATTGTAAACCTTAAATTACAGATTGTACAATTCTCTTGTTTAAAAATAAAAAAAAAGTATTTTACATAGTTATAATTCAGTTAAAAATGAAAATATCAATTAAAGCCTAAGATGTGATTTCCAAGTTATTAATGATGGCTTTCAGTTTAATTATAGGTTAATTGACTATAATATAAAAGCTAATAGCATAAAATGGATTCTACTGAACACAAATTTACTATATTGAGTGTTAGTAAGACAAATACAACATATTTGGGCATGACATCAACTTGAAAATAAATTCAAAATCAACAAAAATTTACCAAAATAACTGGTTTTGTTAATGACAATATATTAACATACCATGTCTATAATATTGTATGACCAATGTATACAACTCATATAGTAGTCAAGATAAAACTAAAGAATATAAGAATATCTACATACTTACACATCAAAAAATCACTAATTAGTAATGTCTATCTAGTTGAAAACAACATTTAAGTGTTGTATTATTGTTTATTGTCTTATATAATTTAGTTTTCGATCCTGGAGCGACGCAATCATAATATGTAGTTTTAAGTACTTTACGTTTATGGTTAAAATTGTAGATTTAACGACAATCTTACAAGGTATTAATTTAATAAAATAAAACAACTTATGATAATAATAAAAGCGTTCATACTTACAAGATATATCTGTTTACAAGTATAATAATAGTAGTATTCAGCAGGCAGCAGCAACAAGAACGCAAGGCACAAAAATACAGATTGTATTAAAGATATTCCAATTCTAGACGTAAAAAACAAATTATAGTTTCAGACTCACGTACCCCGCCAAACCACTATAATTTATTTCAAACGTTAAATAATTAATAAATATTTAATCCCACTAATCCCAGCGAAGTAAACAAACTTTCACAGCTATAGACCAAATTAGACATGGAAAATTCATCAATAATAAAATGATAAGGATGTTTGTTATTTTGTTCTATAGAATATACATATATATCGTATACTATTATTTGGTGTACCGCGCACCGATAACGCCGTGCTGATACAAATAATCAATAAACAATGAACCAACGCCATTGGCCCGTGAGCCGGGTGTTCCGCCTATAAACATGATTTAAAATAACATATACATGCATATTGCATAGAAACATGAACCGGCACAATGTTTATGTCGGTTATGAGTGTTATGACTTATGAAATATGAGTTATGACTCCGTCTGCTGTGACTGTCACGTCTAGTCCTAACTCCAATCTCTGAGGGCGGTACGAAGTATGAACACTATGAACCTTGTCACATGCCTCTCTGAACAGTCCGAACGTCAGTATTTTACTCTTTTATGAGTAACTTTTGTTTTTTTTTACTTTTTTGGTTACGACTTGCGTACTGGCGCGGATTGTGTTGAGATTAGTCATTACTTCATTAGATATTATCTTTAATCGTGATTCCCTGTCAGGCCTTAGCCAGTGCCGCCTGCTTTGAAAACGAGATTACTATTCAGATTCAGATTAGCTACCTGCTGGTTTTAAATTTTTTAAACAGAGCAGAATCACATAATATAGCCAATAATAAGTACGACAAAAAAATAAAATAATTCATGATAATGTCTGTGGTAGTATAGCTTTCTAAGTTCTAACTAATAATGTAGTTGCTGTCGTTAATCATAGGCCCACAACAATGAGTATAAAGAATGATCATACAATTACTATAATTATTATTTATTATGCTATAACGTACTATACCATTCAAGTATTCAACCCAATAGACCGATAATACAAAGATGTAGTTAAAGTTTAACAATTTTATTGATTTATTATATTACTACTAGGTATAGGTATTATTAGTTCTAGGGCAACTATAAATCACCCGACCTATCCTGGTTTGGTTCGAATGTTCGATGTATTCTGGTATTAATCATTGATTTTATAATATACCTATTTATGTGAACTGTATTTAAAAACCAATGGTTTTTATGTATTTCTGTTAGACGGCAATTCATTTCGAGTAATTAATAAGTAAAAAAGCATAAATAATGAATTAATATAATATATAATACAAAAATTAAAAAACAAATATTTAATATTTGATTTAACAAGAAGCTAGTTATTAAGCTAAGACTTCTGTGCTTATCAGGCTAATAAGGAATTGTTATGCAAATACAAGACAAATAATAGACAATGAGTTAATAAGATATGTGGTACTTGCAGTATAACTCAGAATTTTTTGTGTGGAAGAGCTATTGTGTCGTTAATAATAATTTTTCCGAGATTACATATTATTTTCTAGAAATAAATTTTGATGTAGAATGATATTTAGCTTTCCCAATTTTGTAACCTCTTAATGTCTTAATCCTTTCCTTTCTATGTGTGACATTGATTCGTTAATATATTTGGAAATATAATAACAAATATGCTCAATTAACATTATACAACTGGTAATAAAATATTTATTTTTTTTTTAAATTTATTTATACAATCTGTAAAACTTAATTTACAATAATAATATGAGCTATAAATAAATATAACATGAATTACATCAAAAAAAATTAAATCAGTGGTTACACTTTATATTTGATTTTTTTTTTTTTGAACTTTTGAAAAGGGATCAAGTGTTTAGGTCAAGATACCATACATAATAAAATATTATTTATTAATATAAATAATAAAATAAGTAATAAGCAGTTGTCAGTTTTCATAAAAAAAAAAAAAAATCAACCTTTCACTCCAAGGTAATTCCAAATTCATAAAAAAAAATGTAAGTGTTTAAAATAGGTTTTTTTAAACAAACTCAACAATATCAAGAAATAGAATTCAAATAATTGAAAGAGATTGGTATATTTAATAAATCACCATGTATACACAGATTAGATATTGGTGATTATCCTTGTTCATTATTCTAATTTGGAATACTATGTTTACTCATTTCCATCTATCCACTACTTACTTAAAATGTGTAGAAGTACCTTTTAATAAACACCTTAAGAGGATGCTATACAGACATTTGTTGTCTCTATCTTACAAGTGTGTAAAATAACAAATTTACGATCAGTAGATTAGGTTTAGCTTTATTAGCTTAAAAATTAGAGTAAATTTACCTATAATGAAACTTAATGGTGAGAAGATTATCTGTGTTTGTACCTGGGTGTTTTACGATAGTTCAATTTTTTAGTGAATGTAAAATATACTAAATTAAAAATGCCCATAACTCATTTAAAAAATTGAATTATCGTAAAAACCTACATACAAGCAAAGAAAATATTCTTACCATCAAGTTTCATTATAAGTCGATTAACTCTAATTTTTAAACTAATGAAGCTTAACCTGATTGTTGAATGTAAATTGCTATATTACACACTTGTAAGACAGAGACAAAAAATGCTTGTGTAACATCCTCTTAAATTGTATTAACAAAAGTTAACTATTGATTAAAATGATCTTATATGTTAAATATTGTATAGATATTAGTGGATATTACAGTAATTACAAAAAGTAAAATTAATTTAAAAATTAGTTATGTTTAAAAAAAATAAGTTAAGTAAAGATACATTGACAACAGTTGATATTGATTTACTATTTAGGATAGACATTTAATATAAATGCTCAAGAAATAACTTAAATAAATTTAGTATATTTTCTATATTACTCACTACTCAGTTTATTCTTTTAAAAGTATCATTAATAACATTTAATTGTGATAAGAACAAAAAATAAAACAAAAAAAGTAAATGATTGTATCAATTTATCAATAACAAACATTTTTTTTAAATCCATCAATATATTAATAGTAACAAAAATTTAAACTTATATATTTCCATATGAAATACAATTTTGACAAACAAATTGTAAATTTTAAATAAATATTTAAGTTTAAATAGCTACACATAAGTCCTATATACCTAAATACAAATTTTACGGATTTGGATATTTTTTCAGAAGATAATTGATTTCTCTAGGTGTAAGATTATCCTTCCCCAACGAAATATTTCCTTCTTGCCTGTCTTGTTTTCTTTTGAACTTGTCAGCATAATTTTTAGTAGCACATGCTTGAAACTTGGTTATTTCATCTGAACAGCGAGCTTGGTCAAATTCATTTTTTTTGAAACAGGCAAACATAACAGATATTTCATGAACACATGCACGTTCTTTGGATCTATCTCCTTTGCCAGATACTTTATTTTTCAATTTAAGCGGCAACAGTTCTTCAAATTTCACTTCAAGTGGATTTTTTGTATATCGGCGCATATCGCGATAATTCAAAATGTTGTTTAAACGCATATTTAAGTAATTATTATACAAATACTATAGTTAACTATTAAATTTAAAAAAAAAAAAAATTGAAAATATTTAAAGAGTATCTTTTTTTTTTACTTTTAAAAATAATAAATTAAACTATTGAAATAGCAAAATAATTTAATATAATTTTATGTTTATTACGATCTATCCTTTATCACAATCACAAGGTCTATAAATGATATTATTATTATCTATAAACCTTGCCTTTATCATAACAGTTATCAAAATTATTAAAAATAATATATTATTATTGTATTTATTGTACATTAAATGTACTGAATATCGTTATCTATAAAAAATGAGGTTATGTTACAAAATAGATATGGGGTTATGTCATATGGTTTATGTAAAATTGTTGATTACATGTACAGGCATCAAGCATGTTTCCTCAATACAGAAGTGTATAGCATAAAACAATGTGATGTATCTTCTGGACCAACTGGTATATCAGTGTGGCTATAATATAACAAACTGTAGAATTTATAAATTATTTTAACCATATTTAATTAAATATATGTAAATATTGTAAATGCCAAGTAAATGGCAAGTTTTTGTACAATACAGGAAAATGCCGAAAATGTAAACCCTCAACATATAAATTCCTTCAAAAATCATTTTGTTGCCCAACTGGCTATTTCACTTATGTTGATTTACCTTAAAAAGTTAATAGAAATAATTTAAATTATATTTATATTTATTTATTTATAATTACTACCAAAAATAAAAATTATTTGAGGTGAAAGTGAAATAGGTACCTAATTATTATATTGGTAAATATTAAAATATCCAATATTGTAAAAATTTTAAATTTAAAATGGTCATCCAAAAATGATTTGACTTTCCGACGTGGAAATAAATTAGAAAACACTCATAAATAAATGATAACATACATTATTTTAGCTTTAATTAAACTAAAAATTATTATTAATTTTCAGTAAGAATTAAGATCAATTAATGTCTCATTAACCTAGTTTATTGTTAAGAAAAACAATTTTTTTTGATGTTTGTGTCAGTCAACACAGCGTTAAATATAATATTTATCAAGATTACCTAATCAAAATTTATAAAGATAATAAATAAATTTCTAAAGAATGTACTATGTAAAATTAATAAATACTGATGATACAAAAACCATTTATAACGTTTTTACTAATAATTGAAGAAATACTTCAAATACCCATTAGATACCTATACCTAATAAAATAATTAATATGCATTTAACGTTTTTTCAAGATTTATTGTCCTTTTATTTCTTATTTTGATTTTACATAATATATTTAAAACTTTAATTATTATATAATTGTAAAACGATGAATAGAATAGTTCATTTAATAAATAGATTGATTAATTGAATTACTTTCATCACTCTAGGACCAGGCTATTTCTTTAATTAAGCAAACCAGACCACCGAGCATTGTCCCATGGTTGCCTGGTGGGCTATTCCGCCCCTGAGAGACAGTTAACTAAATGAAACCATTAATTTTTTAGCTAAAATTATTACACTTACCAAAACTACCATCGTTCAATTAAAAATATAAGTAATTTGAATCGACTGACCATTAAAAAAACCTATATCTATAATAATAGGTATAATACATAGTTTAATATTCGTAAGTAGGTATCTAAATTGTATCTTAATTCATTGTAGACACCAGTTGGAAATAAAACAATTATGTAATTAAATTATAATAATTTTATACAAAACCAATCAGCTTTATAGTGCCACGGTTAGGTTGCATTTTTTTTATATATCCCAGAGCCACGCCAGATATTGCAATTAATAATTTAAAAAGTTAAAATATTATTAAAATAATAAAATAACTCTCAACTAAATATCTGCTAATCAGTAGATGAACTCTAAGACAATCACATACTTCTTAATCTCATCTCGAGGAACGAAAAAAGTAGGTGTAAAGAGTAGGTACCTAATTATTATAATGTAAATTAGAAAAATATGCTCAAATAGGAAAAAATGAACTAGATATTATCGTAAAAAATAAGTTTTATTAATACGTATCACTATATTAAATAATATTTGAATTAATATATAGGAAAACGATGAAACTTTCAGACACGTACAAATTTTCATAAATGCCGATCAAATATAATTTACTGTCACTTGTCAGTTGTCATTAAATAGAGGTATCCATTTATAATTTACAATCGATCAATTTTACCTATGAACCTATGAAATTACAATAGGAAAACGTACGAATAAAATATTATGTATTAGTCACTACTTGTATAAATTGCATACGTAGTAGTATTATATTATACATATATTATTTCTGAGCGTGTTGTTTTTAACCTCGGAGAGTTAAATCGAAATAATCGAAATAATATTATATAAAATCAGTTGTTTAGTAGGTAGGTACTTACGCAATACGCACTATGCAACTACATGACATTATGATAAATAAACATATGATAAATGTATATAGATACTTTTTTAATATGACAGATGTATGTATAATATTATAGTATTGGGTATACAGTATTATACCATATTGTATGATCTATTATTATAATTTATATTATAGTATACCTGTATATATACGTAAAGTGTAAACCTATACATTATAATCATTCAATATTTGTAGATGTCAATACTCTATAACACACACTCCTTTACTTTAGTAGATACAATTTAGTCTGTCAATTATTTGAATAATGCATTTCCACTTTCCACGTACATTCGTGTTAACGTGTTGGTTACCGCGACGAGTGTGACTGTGTGACATCACCGCGTCGTGGATCTAATGTCGTCATAACTGTTCGTCGTCAATTTAGCGGTACAAAAAATACCGTATAAATCCCAAATCCTAGTACTTATTCTACGAGTTATTAAGTTATTAAAACATAACTTCCACGTACAAAAGCTTATCGTTTAAGAATAGAAAACTAAACACATTTAAACAAAAAATAGCTTTAGTAAAGGAAAAGTAAAGAACAAAGTCATATACATAAAAATATATAACGAGGGTGGTCGACTCCGTAGTAATATAATATATTTGGAAAGAAAGGCAAAAATTAAAAATATGAAGAATACATGTGTGAAATTTGGAAGGAACGATTTTACAGAAAATAACTATTTATGATTTGTCCATTTATTATGTACCTATACGAAATTACATTCTTTCATAATAGAACATGGAACATGTACGGACTGTCAACTATGTACCTATTAGTATATTTTAATACTTTCAGTTTTGGGGTAATGCTAATATGTATTGTACAGTGATACATAACTTTTTAACGGGTTTATGATAATTTATTCGCGAATAACATTAATATAATATGACGCTTCACTTTTAAAATTAAGTTTCAAAGCTAAAAATATATCGTTCTATTGGAAAGTTGGTTTTTAGCTGTACTTAAGCTTCTAAATAAAAGTAAAAAATATAAACATGTATAATCATTTTAAAGACATTTTTATGAAGAAAACAATATGAATAAATAGTAATGCATTATTTAATCCTAGTGCAGTTCTAAGATTGTGTTTACGTAGCCTTTATGTAGGTACACCCGCTAATGATGATTGAACTCTCAAGTAATCATGTAACTAACATCGACATTCGACATAAATATAACCATATTTGATATTATTATTATTGTGTGTAAAATAGCGCAAAGGGCAACGGCTCAAAAGGTCGAGTCAGCGGTACTGGTGGTGACGTGGGGTGACTCCCCCAGATTAAAATAAATATTAAATTATACAACTATTCACTGTCGCCGCAGTGGAAGGCATCGACGTCGAACGTAGTGTCGGCTGGTGGAACGCCGGTGGTCTAAAAATTTCTCTACCGGTGTGGTGGCAGCATTGCGGAAAGGTGAAAAAAAATCTTTTACATGTGTAATGGTTTGATAGCGGTGCGGCTGGTTACTTTGCAGTGTTAAAATCGTTTCGGTTTTGCATCGAATTGTCGTTCGCTCGTTTCTTTCGTGCTTACGCGTCTCGCAAATACCTATCTCACACACACCGTCTCGTTCTCGCGGCAGGCATACAACGTGATTACAGTAAGTGATTTTGCGTTAACCGATGGTGCTCACCGCCTTGTCCGGTGCGGCCCACCGACGGTTGTTAAACCTCATGGCAATGCGATCGGTCTGGGGTTATGCGTGCGGCGCGCGAGTACACGCGCACACGTACGCACACCACACATACAACAAGCGCGGTGGGTTGACACGTCAACTCCTTGTGGATCGGGCCTTTTATTATTTGGGCTGCTAGGGCCTAGGTCCTAGGTCCTTGTCTAACTAAGTCCGTACCCGTTCACTGCCACGCACTCGTCGATGGGGAGGTCACCGTGGTGCCGTTGGTTTTTAGGACCACCCCCCGTCACCCGCAATCCAGTGTGTCACAGGGTCTGTTTAATTTCTTTTCTATTGGGCTCGTCATTTAGTCTACTAAGCGCGAGTTAAAAACCCTTTCTCCCTAGAGGATTGCAATTGCCCCTAATCGCGTTCGTTTTAAAATTCTGAGCTGACCCACGTTTTTTTAGGTCTTTGATCACCGTGGCAGCCCGTACCAACAATATCAATGATTGTGATTCTTTTTTTTATTGCCATTTCGTTTAAAACCATTTAGAATCATGAAATCATTAATAATTATGTACTTAGAGCTACTCATGGCATAGGATGTTGCACTGGATGCATTCTTCATTACTTTCTATTTGATCTGTTGGGTTATTATACTCTTCTGCTGTCTCATCCATATTTTTGTTCACTTTTCATACAGATCCACATATTAACATTGGTATATTGGAGTTGCCAAGTTCTGTCATCAAATAATCACAGTATTTTTAATAATTTCACTTGTGTTTAATTTTACTACCATACAAATTATACTTGCATTTAATTATTTTCTTACGTTAGAATTATGAAATGTTAAGATATATCAATTAGCTTAAACAACTTTATAACCCTATTATCACCACTTAGGTTAATCTTTGACAAATATTTAACTTGGTTGTCCTGGAAAATTTTTTAAATTTTTTTTACTTAAGAATATAACTATAAAACATATTCAAA